ACGTCATTTTCTAGGCTATTCCACTGCCTTACAACTCTATGACTGAAGAAATACTCCTACTATCTCTCTGACTCATTTGTGTCTTCAACTTCCAATTGTGGCCTCTTGTTTCTGTGTCCCCTCCCTGGAACATCCTGTCCTTGTCCACCTTGTCTATTCCACGCAGTATTTTATATGTCGTTATCATGTCTCCCCTGACCCTCCTGTCCTCCAGTGTCGTCAGGCCGATTTCCCTTAATCTTTCTTCATAGGACATTCCCCTTAGCTCTGGAACTAACCTTGTTGCAAACCTTTGTACTTTCTCTAGTTTCTTGACGTGCTTTATCAAGTGCGGGTTCCAAACAGGTGCTGCATACTCCAGTATGGGCCTGACATACACGGTGTACAGTGTCTTGAATGATTCCTTACTAAGGTGTCGGAATGCTGTTCTCAGGTTTGCCAGGCGCCCATATGCTGCAGCAGTTATCTGATTGATGTGTGCTTCCGGAGACATGCTCGGTGTTATACTCACCCCAAGATCTTTCTCCTTGAGTGAGGTTTGCAGTCTTTGTGTGTGTGTGTGTGTGTGTGTGTGTGTGTGTGTGTGTGTGTGTGTGTGTGGGCTCAACAATCAATATTTGCACCAATAACTCATTACAGTTGTGACCGGGTGTGGAAGTGTGAATTGCTCATTACACTATAATTTGTTCATGATTGTAGCCATGTATAAACATAAGTAACCATTCTTACAGAATTCATTACCTTTGTAACTTGTGAGCTCATTACCTTTGTACCTAGTTCAGCTATCAAAACTTTGGGGGCCCAGTCCCTGGACCCATTACGTACTTCTGTAATCTGTGAATACCTTTGTAACTTGTCATGATTGTGACCAGACCTACCTGGAGTTCATTACCTTTGTAAATTGTGAGTTCATTACCTCTGTAACTTGTTCAGCTATCAAAACTTTGGAGTCCAGTCCCTGGACCAATTATGTACCTCTGTAATCTTTTGACTACCGCCCACAGGATGGGTATGGGGTGCATAATAAACATATTAAACTAACGATCGTAAAGGAATTCAACTGAGCTTCACGGACATTCCAACATGCAATTAAGTGTAGATAACTGGTTCAGAGAAACGACAAAAATAACAGACTGTTCAATAAGGGCACGTACTACACTTGTGACATTTAAAGAAAAGTTTTACCCACTGGAAATAAGTCACTGAATTTTTTGGGTTATCCTAGGTTCTCTACACATGCTGCTATGTATGATAATCTATGTATTTGTGTATACCCAAATAAACTTACATACTAGTGGCTTTGTCTATCATGCGGAATCGTTCAAGGCCCTGTACACTGTGTACGTTTGACCCATGCTGGAGTATGCAGCACCAGTTTGGAACCCACATCTAGCCAATAATGTAAGGAAACTAGAGAAAGTGCAAAGGTTTGTAACAAGACTAGTCCCGGAGCTAAGGAGCATGTCCTACGAGGAGAGGTTAAGGAAACTGGACCTGATGACACTGGCAGACAGGAGGGGGGATATGATAATAATAATAATAATAATAATAATATCTTTATTTACTACAAGTACATGTACAAGGTATACAGTCCTAGCTGACAACAATGACATACTACTATATAGAAACTCCCTTGTTATGCTCTGCATTTCGGGCAAATTAGGTCAGTGTCCCAGGATGCGACCCACACCAGTCGACTAACACCCAGGTACCCATTTTACTGATAGGGAACATAGACAACAGGTGGAAAGAAACACGTCCAATGTTTCTACTCTGGCTGGGAATGGAACCCAGGCCCTCGCCGTGTGAAGCGAGAGCGTTAGGCACCAGAGCCCTTAATATAACGACATATAAAATACTGAGAGGAATCGACAAGGTGGACTGAGACAGGATTGTGGAAAATTGCATTTACTTGGATTTATAATTATATACATAACAGTAAATGAACAATGATAACTATTATTTATCAGTTAGACAAGTAGGAATTTGGGACACTTAAGTCGTAAAAAATGTCCCCCTTCGATACCTACCACTGTCATAACCACAAGTTGCTCTGGATCTATTAATTAAATGAAATATACATACACCAGGAATGCTGGTAAATATATAAATTTGTGGACTGCATATTAAAAATAATAAATGGTTATATATATACACAATTACATAACAGAAGGAAAATATATCTTAATATCACTCACCAATTTGACTGGAGATTAATGTGTATCATACTCAGAAAACCTCACTGTCTAAATTTATGGAAATACTGGCCAGAATTAAACATAAACAGACTTACCTGAGGTTCCTGGAGCTGTCTTGTCCAGTCGCCTGATACTCAAATTATGCAGGAATGCACATCCAACAATTTCGCCTCCTATTTAAGAGGTGTCAACCCAATTTTAACCTCTAGAGCACGAAAATTCCTCACAATATTAATTAACGTCTTACTCCATTCAAATAACAATGGCGACTGACCCCCCGCCCCCCCAGCCGCAGGTTTCCCATTTTCGATAACATACTTCTTTTAAAAATACAATATAGGGCATCTATTTACCTATAAATTACCGTATTTCCGGAAAATATATGCAGTATTTTCCACAAGGATGTTCCAGAGATGGGACACAACAACAAAGGGTCACAGTTGGAAGTTAAAGACTCAGATGAATCACAGGGATGTTGGGAAGTATTTCTTCAGTCAGATAGTTGTCAGGTAGCGGAATAGTCTGGGAAGTGATTTAGTGGTGGCAGGAACCATACACAGCCTTAAGAAGAGGAACAGGAAGTGACCTAGTAGCGACCAGCGAAGAGGCAGGGCCAGGAGCTGTGAATCGACCCCTGCAACCACAATTAGGTGAGTACAGTTTACTAAAAACAGGCCTTAGCAAGATGATAGGTAAAATAAGAATATGATTTATCATACAAATTTTATTATGCAAGTTTTGCAATGAAAACAGTTGCCATAAATGAAATCGAAAGAAACCCAAAGTATTTCTTCTCCTATGCCAAATCAAAATCGAGAACAACGTCCAGTATTGGGCCCCTACTTAAACAAGATGGGTCCTACACAGATGACAACAAGGAAATGAGTGAGCTACTCAAGTCCCAATATGACTCAGTTTTTAGCAAGCCGCTAACCAGACTGAGAGTCGAAGATCAAAATGAATTTTTTATGAGAGAGCCACAAAATTTGATTAACACAAGCCTATCCGATGTTATCCTGACGCCAAATGACTTCGAACAGGCGATAAATGACATGCCCATGCACTCTGCCCCAGGGCCAGACTCATGGAACTCTGTGTTCATCAAGAACTGCAAGAAGCCCCTATCACGAGCCTTTTCCATCCTATGGAGAGGGAGCATGGACACGGGGTCGTCCCACAGTTACTAAAAACAACAGACATAGCCCCACTCCACAAAGGGGCAGTAAAGCAACAGCAAAGAACTACAGACCAATAGCACTAACATCCCATATCATAAAAATCTTTGAAAGGGTCCTAAGAAGCAAGATCACCACGCATCTAGAAACCCATCAGTTACACAACCCAGGGCAACATGGGTTTAGAACAGGTCGCTCCTGTCTGTCTCAACTATTGGACCACTACGACAAGGTCCTAAATGCACTAGAAGACAAAAAGAATGCAGATGTAATATATACAGACTTTGCAAAAGCCTTCGACAAGTGTGACCATGGCGTAATAGCGCACAAAATGCGTGCTAAAGGAATAACAGGAAAAGTCCGGTCGATGGATCTATAATTTCCTCACTAACAGAACACAGAGAGTAGTCGTCAACAGAGTAAAGTCCGAGGCAGCTACGGTGAAAAGCTCTGTTCCACAAGGCACAGTACTCGCTCCCATCTTGTTCCTCATCCTTATATCCGACATAGACAAGGATGTCAGCCACAGCACCGTGTCTTCCTTTGCAGATGACACCCGAATCTGCATGACAGTGTCTTCCATTGCAGACACTGCAAAGCTCCAGGCAGACATCAACCAAATCTTTCAGTGGGCTGCAGAAAACAATATGAAGTTCAACGATGAGAAATTTCAATTACTCAGATATGGTAAACATGAGGAAATTAAATCTTCATCAGAGTACAAAACAAATTCTGGCCACAAAATAGAGCGAAACACCAACGTCAAAGACCTGGGAGTGATCATGTCGGAGGATCTCACCTTCAAGGACCATAACATTGTATCAATCGCATCTGCTAGAAAAATGACAGGATGGATAATGAGAACCTTCAAAACTAGGGAGGCCAAGCCCATGATGACACTCTTCAGGTCACTTGTTCTATCTAGGCTGGAATATTGCTGCACACTAACAGCACCTTTCAAGGCAGGTGAAATTGCCGACCTAGAAAATGTACAGAGAACTTTCACGGCGCGCATAACGGAGATAAAACACCTCAATTATTGGGAGCGCTTGAGGTTCCTAAACCTGTATTCCCTGGAACGCAGGAGGGAGAGATACATGATTATATACACCTGGAAAATCCTAGAGGGACTAGTACCGAACTTGCACACGAAAATCACCCACTACGAAAGCAAAAGACTTGGCAGACGATGCACCATCCCCCCAATGAAAAGCAGGGGTGTCACTAGCACGTTAAGAGACCATACAATAAGTGTCAGGGGCCCGAGACTGTTCAACTGCCTCCCAGCACACATAAGGGGGATTACCAACAGACCCCTGGCAGTCTTCAAGCTGGCACTGGACAAGCACCTAAAGTCAGTTCCGGATCAGCCGGGCTGTGGCTCGTATGTTGGTTTGCGTGCAGCCAGCAGCAACAGCCTGGTTGATCAGGCTCTGATCCACCAGGAGGCCTGGTCTCAGACCGGGCCGCGGGGGCGTTGACCCCCGGAACTCTCTCCAGGTCCAGGTCCAGGTAAATTTTGGACAATTGGGAAAGAAGATTGAGTTTAATAACGTTAGAGAGGAGTGTCTTCAGTTATAGAGAAAGAACCAGGGCTAAACCCAGCATTGGAGCACTCACGGGCGATGTGAAGAACAGCATGAGCAGGCAGCACCAGCAGCCAGTCGTCTAGTGTAGCTCTTGGCAAGGCAGAACAGCAGTCAGGGTCACGAGAGGGCAACATATCATGGCGTTCATATTAGTGATTTAAGATGGTTTATCAGTGGAAGAACCATCTTTTTTTTTTTAATTTCTTTAAGGTAGATCTGAAGGTGGGTCGGATATATAGATCCTGATCTCTTGGACTTGTTTCGGCGAGAAGAGATACGGTGTATCACTGGTAAATTTGACTGATCCATCACACAGCCAAGTGTACAGTTCCATGCAGAGCATGGAGGTGTGCTGAAAACGAGGTTGTCCCATTTCAGTCCCCTGGTGAAGATGTCAACCTTTTTCTCTTTCTCGGAAGATTCCGTAGGCTGACCTTCGTTGGTCTTGGCTGGTTGTGTAGTAGATTGAGAAACTTAAGATGATGGTTGTGCTGGTCAGAAGCAGTGGAGAGAGTGGTTGGAGGCTTGAGAGCCGATGGGTGATTGTAGATTTTTTTGGTTTCGGCGATAGAAGGCTTGACGGAAGTTGAGGTTGATCGAAGAACGGTAGTGTGAACAGAGGAAGATGTCAGGTAAGCTGGTGCAGCGAAGGTAACTGTTTGGGATCATCTTGAGGATGTCGGCGGAAGGTGCAGAGTCTGGGAACTTGAAACTTAGTATGTTGTTGAGACGGAATAATTCGTTGATTGAAGTGCTGAAGGAACTTGGGTTAGCTGCACTGGCAAGATGTGCATATACCATGCAGTAAAGAACTTTAGAAGGAACGCCATCTGGAAGCGGAGAAACGTAGTTACCGGGGGTTAACGCCCTCGCGGCGCAGTGCTTGACCTGCTGAGTGACTTGAGAATCTTAGCGATGGCGGCATAAGTTGGAGATTTCGTGGAGGATGTTATCTTCAAATCTTCTTGATTTGAAGATAACGTCCTCCACGATGGGATTTTTAGCTACTGAGGTATGTCTCTTGTTGTTCTTTTGCTTATAGTGCTTATTACCCATGAAAATAACTGCTACAGCTTCAGTGGTGATGATGAAGAGATCCTGATGGTCCACATATTGTTACGTTGGGTGTACAACTAGCGCAAGACCACGATGTCTGTAAAGAAATATTTACACTTTTATTTGGGGGTAGTTGAGTTGTATCGCGATTTGAGGTTGTGTTAGTGTTATGTTGTGAAAATTTGTCTGGGCTGCCTCCAAGTGAGTCGCCTACCCTGGCAAACTCTGTTGACACCGAGCTCTGAGATGGGTACCTCAGCCTCACAAGTGGCTTTTAGGACAGATTTTTCACAGATGATTGGTATTGCAAGAAACCTCGCCTGCATGCACGTATAAAGGACTAACTTACTTGGTGTTGCAGCATATATCCTGATCTTCAACTTCCTAAGCCTAGCTTTAGCCCCCTTGGACTTCCCCTTGGGAACCACGTGCAACCGGGAGCATTAATTCCTGCAATATTCAATCGTTATTAGTGTCCTGCCTGCACCTCAGAAATTCCTATATCCAAGAGGGTATGTATCCCCTAGTATAACTATGCAGACTCAGACGCTAGCTTCAGACGACTCTGAGACGCTGGTACTTACTGGGCATACTCTCTCTGTAGCACGCCGAGCCCTCAGTTAACTCAATCCACAATCTCCTAAGTCACTGGCCAGATCCTACTGGAAAAGGTGAATATCTCGTCTTACTGTATGGGCTGATGGAGGAGATCATCTACGGTACATCGAGGTGTCTATGCCAGATTTCCCCAGGTCTCAGATGTGAAGACACGTGGGGGCGCCGCCTGATGTTCACGGCACGTCTTGTCCAGTCGAAGTCTATCGTAAGAAGGACGCTATTCTGTCTTTGTGACCTGCGCCCCGCCATTCAAGCTAGGGCTGCCAGTTCTCCCTAGCTAACTTATCCTAATGTTTGCCTACATTATCGGCCTATTACTACCTATGTTAAGGTCTTAGGTCTACTCTATCATTATCTACAGATGCCTTAGTAAACCTAATATGAGTGTACTACCAGTATTACTACCTACTCCTTCCCTGAAGAGTAAATCTATAAATTAAATAAGCTTACCAACAACCGCCAACCAGAGAATGCCTTGTTTGGGAGGGTTTAAGGGGCCGCTCGGCTCAGACGGCCATACGCTCATGCTGGATCTGAGCTGTGGAACTATTTGGACCAAATAAATTTCCACATATGTGTTGATGAATAAGATATTTGTACAACACTTTGGAATCTTTATTCTGAAAACGTTTTGTGGCCCGGTGGCCCGGTTTCCTTACACCTGTTGTCCTGTTCACCTAGCAGCAAATAGGTACGTGGGTGTTGGTCGACTGGTGTGGGTCGCATCCTGGGGGACAAGATTGAGGACCCCAATGGAAATAAGTTACACAGTCCTCGATGACGCACTGACTTTCTTGGGTTATCCTGGGTGGCTAACCCTCCAGGGTTAAAAATCCGAACGAAATCTTATCTTATCTTATCTTCGCCAGCCATTGACTTCCGTCCAGTGGTGAGAAACATTGTGTTGAGGAGTTTGATTACCTCAAACTCCTCATTATCTTCTGGTAAATAATAATAATATTTTTTTTCTACAAGTACATGATGCAGCTTATACAGACCATAGCTGACATCAGTGGCATACTATATAGAAAGCCCTTGGTCATGCAAAGCATTTCGGGCAACTTAGGGTGACTTTGCCCCATGATGCTACCCACGCCAGTTGATTATCACCCAGCTACCATTTTAGTGCTTGGTGAACAGGGATAACAGGTGTTTAACCCTCCGGGGTTAAAAATCTGAACAAAATATTGCCTGTCTTAAGGAAACAGGCACAAATGTTTCCATCCATAATGGGGATCAAACCATGGACCTCTGTGTAAGCTGAGTGCACAACCAACCAAGCTAAGGGATTGAGGAAGCCTCTGGCTGGTGAAATCATTTCCAGAATAAAGATTCCCAAGTGTTGCACAAGTGTCTTATTCACCATCTTGTTGGTTTTCTAAACCATATATCCAAACAGCATATTTTCAAATGATTGTAAGGTCTTTTTGATGAGTCTTCAAGTTGGGTACCATGTTGCTGGTGAAGAACATAATAGTAAAGTTGCGTCTAACTAGCGCCCAACCAGGTCCACTCATGTACCTGTCCAACCTATTGGAGTCCCATGGCCTTGTAGGCAACGCTCTTACCTCACACACCGAGTGTCCGTGGTTCAGTCCCTGGCTGGGTGGAAACGTTGGGCATGTTTCATTACACCTGTTGTCCCTGATCACAAAGGTAGAGGGTGCCTACGTGGGTGTTTGTCAGCTGATGTGGGTCGCATCATGGGGGACAAAATTCAAGGACCCCAATGGAAATAAGACACAATCCTCGATGTTGCACGGACTTTCTTGGGTTATCCTGGGTGGCTAACCCTCTGGGTTAAAAATACGATCAAAATCTTATCTCTCTTATCTTATATACTACTTTTGAGTCTAAGTTCAGCATTAATTTTGTGAGCTAAATATTCTGAAATTGATGTGATTCTACATTTTGAAATTTTGTTTGCGTTGTCGTCTGTAAAAATAAAGTGGAAATAAGACTTTAAGTAGCCTTATCTTTGTTAGGCTTACACCTTGACAGCAACCAGAAATTAAACATTTGCATCCAGCACATATCTGAGAAATTTTCAAAAACTATGCATTCTTTCATAAATATGTACCACAAATAACATTACTCTGTATAACTCTTTAATCTACCTCACTTACAGTATCTGTACATGGAAATTTACAATACCAAACCACCTAGAATCCATAGGTGCTCAACAAAAATCATTTAATATAATGAGTGTTCAATCAGATTCCAGATAACACAATCCTACTATTTAAAAGTCTAACTTAACCTACAAAACATTCATACATACTACCCTACATGCTGTATATACAGGACACTTGGTACCAATGTGAATCCAGCTTTCTGACTTCCAGGAAAGCTGCAACAGAGCACATCGACACAATACCAGAAACGAGTATCTCTGTAATGTAGACTATCATAGCCTACCATGTGTTTGACTTAACTGTTTAGAAACTCCATGCAAATAAAAGGTCCTAAAACATGGTGCTTCCTGCTAGAAGATGCAAAAAGATTCCCTATCTGGCAACAGCTTAAAAAATATTGTTAAAAATTACCTCCTAAATCTGCTGTAACTTCTGCATAGATTAAATATATAAATGTATGGCCTAATCTTTTAAAAAACTCAAAGTGCATAAAAGGACCTGAAATATGGAACTCTCTACCTGAAAACTCGAGTCTCTCTGCCAGGCATTTCAAAGCTACTGTTAAAAAATATCCTCTTTCCCTAATGTGATTCTAACAACAATCAATTATACCAAACAATTCTTTCAACCTCTGTTGTCCCTGTTCCTTGTCTACTGTTCATACATCACATGTACTTAGCTTCTTTCTTAATATATCTCTAATTACACTTTTTTTTTATTGAATTGTTAAATACCTTCATTATTTAAAAAAATATGTATTTTTTTTTTAACACGTTGGTCGTCTCCCACTGAGGCAGAGTGACCCAGAAAGAAACAAAATCCCCAAAAGAAAAATACTTTCATCATCATTCAACACTTTCACCTCACTCATACATAATCACTGTCTTTGCAGAGGCTCTCAGATATGATAGTTAAGAAGCCCCTTCAAACTGCCAATATCCCAAACCCCCTCCTTTAAAGTGTAGGCATTGTACTTCCCATTTACAAGACTCAAGTCCTGCTATGTACGTATTCTTATTTGTATATATTTGTAATCATAATTTAGTTTTAAGGCTGCCTGAAATGCTTTGCATATCAAGGGGCTTTCTATAAAATAGCAATATACATGTGTCAATCACCCTAATTGTATAATATACTGTTTTGTTTTTTGTTTTACCACATACAATTTATATATCCAGATTTGACTTGTACTCACCGCAGTGCAGGCGAGAGAGATACATCATAATCTGCACCTGGAAGATCCTGGAGGGACTGGTCCCTAATCTTCACACAGAGATCACTCCCTACAAAAGCAAAAGACTTGGCAGGTGATGCAACACACCCCCAGTGCCCAGGGCCCAAGACTGTTCAACAGCCTCTCACCAGCTGTAAGGGGAATTACCAATACACCCCTGGTTGTCTTCAAGACAGAGCTGGACAGATACCTCAAGTTAATGCTGGATTAGCAAGGCTGTGGTTCGTATGTTAGACTACATGCGGCCAGCAGTAACAGCCTCGTTGACCAAGCCATGATCCACCTTGAGGCCTGGTCATGGACTGGGCCGTGGGGATATTGATCCCTGGAATACCTTCCAGGTAGACCAGTTCAGCACTCATGCTCCTGTTGTCACCAAAATTCCATTACAATTCTGTATTAAACTGTTACAGATAGTACAGACATAATGTTATATAAAATGTTTAAAGTTTTTTTTTTAATACACTGGCTATCTCCCAATGAGGCAGGATGACCCAAAAAAGAGCAAACAAACGTTTTTCTTCTTTCCACATGTTACATATACAGTGAAACCTTGGTTTTCGTTTGCCCAGGTTTTCATCAAATTCAGTTTTCAACGATTCTTTTTGTCACAACATTGTCCCAATTTTTGTTCATCACCTCGGTTTTCGTCTGCTGTACGGAACATGTCCGTCTGCCCTTTCCCCACACAAAGCATCCCATGCACGCATTCTGAGTCAGTCTGGCTTTGTGTCTCATCGAGTGAATATTGCCCTGCGCATTCATAGGAAACATTTCATAATAATCCGTTATTTTTTGTGCTTGTTTATTGAGTGAGACTGCTAAATAATCCACCATGGGGCCAAAGAAAGTTCCAAGTGCCAACCCTTTTATAAAGAAGGCGAGAAACATGATAGAATCCAAGAAAGAACTTGTAGCAAAGTATGAAAGTGGAATGAGTTGCAAAGTTTTGTGGAGAAATATCACTACCACCCTCTACAAAGGTAGAGGGTGGTAGTGATGGTGGTGGTAATGGTGGTGGTAGAGGGTAGTAGTGGTAGTGATGGTGGTAGAGGGTGATAGTGGTTGTGATGGTAGTGATGGTGGTAGAGGGTGGTAGTGGTTGTGATGGTGGTAGAGGGTGGTAGTGGTTGTGATGGTGGTAAGTAGAGGGTTGTAGTGATGGTGGTAGAGATAACCTCTCCTCCCTCTTCTCTCCTTGCCGTCTCCCATACGCCAACAATAAAGGTAAAAGTGATGTTAAATGTTCATTTATCCATTTCATTAGTGCTTTATATTTATTTCTCATTGTTTTCTGTATATAAAACTATAGTTATTCTCTATAAAATGTATTTTTTGTTAATATTTTTGGGTGTCTGGAACTGATCAAATTGGATTTACATTATTTCTTATAGGAAATATTGCTTCAGTTTTCGTTGAATTCGGTTTTTTGTCGGACTCTCTGGAACGAATTAAAGATGAAAACCGAGGTTTCACCGTACTGTAAAACATAGCACTTAAAAATCTAAACTTCAATTATACATTGTCAAGCTGTTTTAAGCTAGTTTTAGACTGCCCAGAAAACCTTGCATAACCAGGGACTTTCTCCTTAGGCCATAAAACACATCGCCTAATTTTATAACAATTGTCTTCAAGCTGTCTTCAAGCAGGCACTGGACAAGCACCTCAAGGCGGTACCTGACCACCTGGGCTGTGGCTCGTACATTGGATTGCATGCATCCAGCAGTAACAGCCTGGTTAATCAGGCTCTGATCCAACATGAGGCCTGGTCACAGACAGGGCTGTGGGGGCATTGACCCCCGGAACTCTCTCCAGGTAAACTCCAGGTATACTTTTGGGAAATAAACACAAAATTTATACTGTACAAGTCAAGCAAGCACTTATCACAACAAATTTTAGGCAACACGCCATGCTCTTATTCTAATCCACAAACCTATTAATTGTTAAGGTCTCTACATACTACTGTTCACTTCTCATCTTTAAAACACTACAGATGTTGATGGTTATTAGTGAATTTAAGCTTGGTGTTATGATTATTTCTTGGTATTTCTTGGAGCCTCTTATGCTGCCTCCTTTCACTTACAACACTGAGCTATGCAGTGGAAACCTGGTACTCAAACAGCTCCCTACTCGAACAAAGCTCGGCACTCGACCAAACAAACACGACCTGCCAGAACATTGCGGTAAACTATTTCGTGTTTCTTTGCATTTTTTGGTGTTTTTTTTATATTATTTGTATAAATAAGTCACCATGGGGCCTACGAAAATTTGTGGTTGGGAAGAATTCATTTGATACTCAAATGGATCAGCACTCGAACAACCTTCTGGAATGAATTAAGTTCGAGTAGCAAGGTTCCATTGTACGGTGGCTTTGCTGTTCCCAGGCTAAGGTTGGACTCAGGGAATTTTTTTTCATTATGAATATACTGTATATGGAACAAAAGAAAATACTATACAATATTGCAGATTTTTTGTACAAAAACAGAAAAAGTAAATTTACAGATTTCTTCCTGAGAACCAAAACTAATTATGTATGGACTCTTACTGAATATAAATGCAAGTACAGGTGGGCCCTGCATATACAGCACCTTTTTTTCAGTGTTCCACATTTTCATTGGCTTTCAGTTGATCCATTGTTCATTATGTTCAGTGATTTTACTGCTTTTCTGCCATTTTCTCCATTTTTGTACAACAGTTGCATAAGCAAAGGGTGACCAGTGTCATATTTTAAGGTAAGTATTGTATGTATTACCTGGAGTTTACCTGGAGAGAGTTCCGGGGGTCAACGCCCCCGCGGCCCGGTCTGTGACCAGGCCTCCTGGTGGATCAGAGCCTGATCAACCAGGCTGTTGCTGCTGGCTGCATGCAAACCAACATACGAGCCACAGCCCGGCTGGTCAGGAACTGACTTTAGGTGCTTGTCCAGTGCCAGCTTGAAGACTGCCAGGGGTCTGTTGGTAATCCCCCTTATGTATGCTGGGAGGCAGTTGAACAGTCTCGGGCCCCTGACACTTATTGTATGGTCTCTTAACGTGCTAGTGACACCACTGCTTTTCATTGGGGGGATGTTGCATCGTCTGCCAAGTCTTTTGCTTTCGTAGTGAGTGATTTTCGTGTGCAAGTTCGGTACTAGTCCCTCTAGGATTTTCCAGGTGTATATAATCATGTATCTCTCCCGCCTGTGTTCCAGGGAATACAGTTTTAGGAACCTCAAGCGCTCCCAGTAATTGAGGTGTTTTATCTCCGTTATGCGCGCCGTGAAGGTTCTCTGTACATTTTCTAGGTCAGCAATTTCACCTGCCTTGAAAGGTGCTGTTAGTGTGCAGCAATATTCCAGCCTAGATAGAACAAGTGTTTATTAATTTATTTTTTTATCTTTTATGTTCAGGTCTATTGAGCACTTAATAGTATATGATAGTGTAAACATGTTATCAGGAGTTTTAGGTACATTCGATAATGAAAAAAAAATTTCTTTTACATCTGCTAGCAATTTTCACTTACTGTATGGAATCTGGGACCTAAAAGCCATACAAATGGGACCCTTTTGTAAGAAAGATATCCCACTGGATTTATGTCATTATATTTGTCCTGGAAATGGGAAGTACAATGCCTGCACTCTAAAGGAGGGGTTCAGGATATTAGCAGTTTGGAGGGATATATTGTGTATCTTTATACGTATATGATTCTAAACTGTTGTGTTCTGAGCACCTCTGCAAAAACAGTGATTATGTGTGAGTGAGGTGAAAGTGTTGAATGATGAAAGTATTTTCTTTTTGGGGATTTTCTTTCTTTTTGGGACATCCTGCTTCGGTGGGAGACGGCTGACTTGTTGAAAAAAAAAAAAATTGTCCTATGTCTAACAGAAACCTGGACAAAATATATATACATGTATTAGCATACCTTGCTAATACAATGCTTAACTTTAGAGCGCTTCACTGATATGGAGCTTTTCAATTATATCCATGATTATTATTTTTGGCAGTGACATGCACATCAGCTGACCAGTACCATTTTTTTATTCATTTTTACTTTTGTGTTTTTTTTTTTTTTACCCCTAGCACTAGTGCATACTTGATAAATGACAGTGTAAACATAGTTTTAGGCTGTTATATGCACTGGCAAGTGAAAAAAAAGACTGATTTGCCGTATTAGTGAGGTATGACTGTCTTTCTTTGCTCCTTAGGCATAGACTAGATTTCATGTTTTCTTAAAAGCATAGTTAAGTGTGCTATGTTGTATCCAAGTGTTTAAACAGATTTTTTGACTTTATAATTCTTTTCAGTTTGAATCAGTATGAAGGAGGAGGATGATCTACAGCTTATATTAACATGGAGAGACCATAAACAAGTTCTTTCACTGGTTATGGAAACTTTGCGTTACAAGGTAAAGTGATGTTTTTATTTTAACTATTTATATATACAGTGTATATTATATTATGTGCATGCAGACATTCTCACTTACATGCATGCTCACACATACTCACATGCTCTCTCATGTACACACACACATGCACACAGGCATGAGTGCATGTACATGCACGTAGACGCATTCATGTGCACACTTGCATGTTTTGGCCATAATTCATTCCAGAAGGCTGTTCGAGTGCCATTACTGAACGAATTTGTTCCCATAAGGAATAGTGTAAATTAGATTAGTCCATTTCAGACCCCCAAAAATACACTTACTAAAGCACTTACAATAATACACTTACATAATTGTTCAAGTTGGGAGCTGTACGAAACTCGGGGTACCACTGTAGTATGTATGGACGTGGATGTACATACATAGTTATTGTGCACATACATGCATATATCAATAACAGTATGTGAAACCTTGTTAAAATGGACTGATATGGGAAAGTGATTGTCCACTTTAATGAAAATCCATTGTATGGAAGAAATTGAAACAGCAAAGAACATGTATTGCATAGATGGACAACCATATATGGACAAATGCCCATTGCAGTGAACTGAGTCCTCTGTATTGATGGCAGTAAAGGACATACTAAGAATACACTATAATATTGCAATGTAGTACAGTAAATTACAGTTTGGTATCTGAAAATAAGAGATAAAAGTACAATACAGTAGAGTACAACAATTTTTCTTACCTTTTCTGGTGGCTATGCTTGTAATTGGATTACAGTATTGTCTAGTGGTCATTCAAAATAATTTTTATTCTGAGTCGGAATAACTTTTATTGTGAGTCAGAGGAGCTGTATAGCTCCAGCATAATATTGTAGCTGGTGTGGGAGATATACAAAAAGATTGTATGGGAGATGTAGATGGTTCAGCAGATGGGTTGAGGAGACATAAATATAATACCAGCCTTACCATAAATTTTTATATTAAGTTAAAAGCATTTATGGAAATGCCAGAGTAAACCATCAGTTGCCCCAAATTCCATTCCCATATAGCTTGCTAGCTTCTCAGTAGCAGAACAAAGCTTAACAGAATGAATGTTAACACTAGTAGCACACTGTTGAACATACCATTCATGCACTGAATCCTTGTATCTTGAGCCATATTCATATTCTTCCTCAGAACAAATAAGATAAGATAAGATAAGATTTCGTTCGGATTTTTAACCCCGGAGGGTTAGCCACCCAGGATAACCCAAGAAAGTCAATGCGTCATCGAGGACTGTCTAACTTATTTCCATTGGGGTCCTTAATCTTGTCCCCCAGGATGCGACCCACACCAGTTGACTAACACCCAGGTACCTATTTGCTGCTAGGTGAACAGGACAATAGGTGTAAGGAAACGTGTCGAAATGTTTCCACCCGCCGGGAATCGAACCCGGGCCCTCCGTGTGTGAAGCGGGAGCTTTAGCCACCAGGCCACCGGGCCACCTCTAGTGTACTTCTTAGATTATGCTGTAAGTTTGTTTTTCCTTCTACGAATGTCAGACACTTTTTGCTGTGCTTCCCACATACTCTCCACACATTTGGCCGCTGAGATGCCCGACTCCTCTTCCTTATTAATTCAATCTTCTGCTTAACACTTAAGTTCACATGCTTCATGGCATGTGAATGTAAAATATGGACTTGCTTTAGAGGCCATTGTTAATAACGCTGTACAGTGCACTTCAATAAAGTAATGATAAACACACTAATTCTAGGGAAAAATTGGAGACAACATGACGATAGTATGTCAGTACATATGCACCCAGGCAGTAGCAAACTGATGTAAAGTGAGCCACTGGCTCTGCTGCCCAGGAGCAGTGAAAATAGACACGTCATAGATAAAGCCAGAACTGGACAGTCCTACAGTGAAGCAGACTTAGTCCATATCTTTGATGGTATGACTGGACCAGACAATTGTGTGATGCAGCAGACTTGGTCTACTGCATTGGTAATTTTACCACACACCTTCATATGGCAGATTTACTGAGTCTTTGTCTGGCCAGATTTTTTATTGTTGTACCTGAAATCTATTGCATAGATGTGCATCATACCAAAGTTTTACTGTATCTCAAACCACAAAAGAAGTATAAAAGTAAGTTCTCAGTGTATGTACACACACATGCAGCTTGGAGTGTTTGTATAGAAAGGGTTCTCAGTATACAGCATAGAGACAAACAACACTGGGTGTGTAATTGTGTATCTATATACTATATATATATACAGTGGACCCTCGACTAACGCTATTAATCCGTTCCTGAGAGTTCATCGTTAGTCAAAATAATCGTTAGTCAAGTTAATTTTTCCCATAAAAAATAATGGAAATCAAATTAATCCGTGCAAGACACCCAAAAGTATTGAAAAAAAAAATTTAACACATGAAATATTAATTTTAATACACACAAACTGAAGAAGACATGCACAGTTACATGACACTTACCTTTATTGAAGATCTGGTGATGATTGATGGGATGGGAAGAGGGGAGTGTGTTGATGGTCTTAGTGTTTAGAAGGGGAATCCCCTTCCATTAGGACTTGAGGTGGCAAGTCCTTTTTTGGGGTTACTTCCCTTCTTCTTTTAATGCCACTAGGACCAGCTTGAGAATCACTGGACCTCTGTCGCACAACATATCTGCCCATAGAGGCCTGTACCTCCCGTTCCTTTATGACATTCCTAAAGTGTTTCACAACATTGTCAGTGTCACCATTAAACACTTGTTCAGGTTTCAGTCCTTCACTGTCTATGTACTCCTTGAATTCCTGCTTATATTTTTCAGCTGCTTTTTGGTCCAAACTGGCAGCCTCACCATGCCTTATCACACTATGTATGCCACTACGATTCTTAAATCTCTCAAACCAACCTTTTCTGGCCTTAAATTCACTCACATCAACACTAGTTGCTGACATTTTTCTAATTAAATCGTCATGCAACTTCCTAGCCTTTTCACATATGATCGCTTGAGAGATGCTATCTCCTGCTATCTGTTTTTCGTTTATCCATACCAATAACAGTCTCTCAACATCTTCTATCACTTGCGATCTCAGTTTCGAAAACATAGTTGCACCTTTGGCAAGAACAGCTTTCTTGATTGCCGTTTTCTTGGCCACAATAGTAGCGATGGTTGATTGGGGTTTTGTGTACAGCCTGGCCAGCTCGGAGACATGCACTCCACTTTCATACTAGCAATGATCTCTTTCTTCATATTCAAATTAATTCTCACCCTTTTTGCTGTAGGGTTGGCACTAGAAGCTTTCTTGGGGCCCATGGTGACTTATTTTGCAGGTGCAATCACTAAAAAGGCTGTGATAATATGAAATGTTCCGATTGTATGCTTGGAAGCGACCGCGGTGGCTGGCTGGCTTGTAAACACTGGCCAGAAGTGGACGCGTCTCAGACGGAACGAATAGTGTTGGTCGAGTTTTTTAGCGCTAATTGAGGCAAAATTTTTGCGATAAAATGTATCGCTAGTCAGATTTATCGTTAATCGATGCCATCGCTGGTCGAGGGTCCACTGTATTATATATATATATATATATATATATATATATATATATATATATATATATATATATATATATATATATATATTATATATACATGTATATATATTATGGAATAGGTGGTAAGTTACTAAATGCTGTAAAGAGCTTTTATGAGGATAGTGAGGCTCAGGTTAGGGTGTGTAGAAGAGAGGGAGAATACTTCCCGGTAAAAAGTAGGTCTTAGACAGGGATGTGTAATGTCACCATGGTTGTTTAATATATTTATAGATGGGGTTGTAAAGGAAGTAAATGCTAGGGTGTTTGGGAGAGGGGTGGGATTAAATTATGGGGAATCAAATTCAAAATGGGAATTGACACAGTTACTTTTTGCTGATGATACTGTGCTTATGGGAGATTCTAAAGAAAAATTGCAAAGGTTAGTGGATGAGTTTGAGAATGTGTGTAAAGGTAGAAAGTTGAAAGTGAACATAGAAAAGAGTAAGGTGATGAGGGTATCAAATGATTTAGATAAAGAAAAAATGGATATCAAATTGGGGAGGAGGAGTATGGAAGAAGTGAATGTTTGTTTTCAGATACTTGGGAGTTGACGTGTCGGCGGATGGATTTATGAAGGATGAGGTTAATCATAGAATTGATGAGGGAAAAAATGTGAGTGGTGCATTGAGGTATATGTGGAGTCAAAAAACGTTATCTATGGAGGCAAAGAAGGGAATGTATGAAAGTATAGTAGTACCAACACTCTTATATGGATGTGAAGCTTGGGTGGTAAATGCAGCAGCGAGGAGACGGTTGGAGGCAGTGGAGATGTCCTGTCTAAGGGCAATGTGTGGTGTAAATATTATGCAGAAAATTCGGAGTGTGGAAATTAGGAGAAGGTGTGGAGTTAATAAAAGCATAAGTCAGAGGGCAGAAGAGGGGTTGTTGAGGTGGTTTGGTCATTTAGAGAGAATGGATCAAAGTAGAATGACATGGAAAGCATATAAATCTATAGGGGAAGGAAAGAGGGGTAGGGGTCGTCCTCGAAAGGGTTGGAAAGAGGGGGTAAAGGAGGTTTTGTGGGCGAGGGGCTTGGACTTCCAGCAAGCGTGCATGAGCGTGTTAGATAGGAGTGAATGGAGACGAATGATACTTGGGACCTGACGATCTGTTGGAGTGTGAGCAGGGTAATATTTAGTGAAGGGATTCAGGGAAACCGGTTATTTTCATATAGTCGGACTTGAGTCCTGGAAATGGGAAGTACAATGCCTGCACTTTAAAGGAGGGGTTTGGGATATTGGCAGTTTGGAGGGATATGTTGTGTATCTTTATACGTATATGCTTCTAAACTGTTGTATTCTGAGCACCTCTGCAAAAGCAGTGATAATGTGTGAGTGTGGTGAAAGTGTTGAATGATGATGAAAGTATTTTCTTTTTGGGGATTTTCTTTCTTTTTTGGGTCACCCTGCCTCGGTGGGAGACGACCAACTTGTTGAAAAAAAAAAAAAAAAAAAAAAAAAAAAATTATATAATATATATATATATATACATGTGTATATATATATATATATATATATATATATATATATTATATATATATATTTTATATATATATATATATAATATATATATATATATATATACAGTGGACCCCCGCATAACGATGGCATCACATAGCGATTATTTCGCATACCGCTTACTTTAATCGCAAAATTTTTGCCGCGCATACTGATTAAAAACCCGCTCACCGATTTTCGTCCGAGACGCGTCCAATGTGCGCCCTCAGCCAGTCCTCACATGTGCCACCCGTGCCATTGTTTACCAGCCAGCCTCCGCGCTAACATCCAAGCATACACTCGGAATATTTCGTATTATTACAGTGTTTTCGGTGCTGTTTTTGGAAAATAAGTGACCATGGGCCCCAAGAAAGCTTCTAGTGCCAACCGTACACCAATAGGGTAAGAATACCCATTGAAATGAAGAAAGAGATCATTGATAAGTATGAAAGTGGAGTGCGTATCGCCGACCTAGTCAAGTTGTACAAGAAAACCCCAATCAACCATCGCTACTATTGTGGGCACCAAAAAGACAATCAAGGAAGCTGTTCTTGCCAAAGGTTTAACTGTGTTTTCGAAACAAAGATCGCAAGTGATGGAAGATGTTGAGAGACTCTTATTGGTGTGGATAAATGAAAAACAGCTGCAGAGATAGCGTCTCTCAAGCGATCATATGTGAAAAGGCTAGGAAGTTGCATGACGATTTAATTAAAAAAATGCCTGCAACTAGTGATGATGTGAGTGAATTTAAGGCCAGCAAAGGTTGGTTTGAGAGATTTAAGAAGCGTAGTGGCATCCATAGTGTGATAAGCATGGTGAGGCTGCCAGTTCGGACCACAAAGCGGCTGAAAAATATGTGCAGGAATTCAAGGAGTACATAGAAACATGAAGGACTGAAACCTGAACAAGTGTTTAATTGTGATGAAACAGGCCTGTTCTGGAAGAAAATGCCAAGCAGGACCTACATTACTCAGGAGGAAAAGGCACTCCAGGACATAAGCCTATGAAAGACAGGCTTACTCTTCTCATGTGTGCCAATGCTACTGGTGATTGCAAAGTGAAGCCTTTATTAGTGTATCACTCTGAAACTCCCAGAGCGTTCAGGCAAAGAATGTCCTCAAGGATAATTTGTGTGTGCTGTGGAGGGCAAACAGTAAGGCATGGGTCACTAGGGAATTTTTCTATAACTGGTTACACCATGCATTTGCCCCCAATGTGAAAGATTACCTAACTGAAAAGAAATTAGACCTTAAGTGCCTCCTGGTGTTAGACAATGCCCCTGGTCATCCTACAGACGTGGGCAGAGCGACTTTATGGGGACATGAGCTTCATTAAGGTGAAGTTTTTGCTCCTAATACCACTCCTCTCCTGCAGCCCATGGACCAGCAGGTTATTTCCAACTTCAAGAAACTGTACACAAAAGCTCTGTTTGAAAGGTGCTTTGTAATGACCTCAGAAACTCAACAGACTCTAAGAGAGTTTTGGAGAGATCACTTTAATATCCTCAATTGTGTAAACCTTATAGGTAAGGCTTGGGAGGAAGTGACTAAGAGGACCTTGAACTCTGCTTGGAAGAAACTGTGGCCAGAATGTGTAGACAAAGGGATTTTGAAGGGTTTGAGGCTAACCCTGAGAATCCTGTGCCAGTTGAGGAATCCATTGTGGCATTGGGAAAGTCCTTGGGGTTGGAGGTTAGTGGGGAGGATGTGGAAGAGTTGGTGGAGGAGGACAATGAAGAACTAACCACTGATGAGCTGATAGATCAACTTCAAGAGCAAGAGGCCAGACCTGGGGAAAACTGGTTCAGAGGAGGGGAGAGAGAAATTGAAGAAGTTGCCTACTACAAAGAAAAGGAAATCTGTGCAAAGTGGCTTGAAGTGCAAACCTTCATGGATGAAAATCACCCTCACACAGCTATTGCAAGCCGTGTTGGCAACCTGTACACTGACAATGTTGTGAAACACTTTAGGGAAGTGATTAAAGGAACGAGAGGTACAGGCCACTATGGACAGATATCTTGTGCGAAAGAAGTCCAGTGACTCTGAAGCTGGCCCTAGTGGCATTAAAAGAAGAAGGGAAGTAACCCCAGAAAAGGACTTACTACCTCAAGTCCTAATGGAAGGGGATTCCCCTTCTAAACAGTAAGAAGATAATGCTCTCCCCTCCTCCCATCCCATCAATCATCACGAGATCTTCAATAAAAGTAAGTGTCATGTAAGTGTGCATGCCTTTTTCAGTTTGTGTGTATTAAAATTAATATTTCATGTGGTAAAAAAAAATTTTTTTTCATACTTTTGGGTGTCTTGCACGGATTAATTTTATTTCCATTATTTCTTATGGGGAAAATTCATTCACATAACGATTATTTCGCATAACAATTACCCCTCTTGCACGGATTAAAATCGTTAACCGGGGGTCCACTGTATATATATTACTCCTACTGCTCATTTGATAGAACATGTAAATTTAGTATTTTTGTACCATATAACAGTACACTGTATTATTTTAACACACAGACTGTCTCCTACCGAGGCAGGGTGACCCAAAAAAGAAGAAACTCTCATAAAAAATTGTCTTCCCTTTACATTTAGCAATAGAAACTCATCACACCTGCATTGAACAGCCATGTACCAAAGATACTGCAAATGCAGGAAAAACCAAACTTCATAACCATAAATTTCATTCCAGGAATTGTTCGCTGATGTTACCCTGATCTGCGGTGAGAAACAGTATGCTGTTCACAAATTTGTTCTGTGTACTTGTAGTCCATATTTTGAGGAGTTGCTTGAGTGTGTACCATGTGAACATCCAGTGTTGGTTTTAACAGAAACCTCACATGAAACTTTGGAGGCACTGCTTGACTTTATGTACCTGGGCCAGACAGATTTCTGTTCCAAAGATTTGGATCGACTACTTGATCTTGCATATGAGTTCAGAATTAAAGGATTAATTAGCCCCAAGGATGAAGCAGACAGACAAGTATGTATAATACAATGTTCTAATAAATATATTCTTTATTAAATGTTAAAAGTAAATCATCTTTGTTGCAATAATTTAATTAAATCTATTTTTATAGTAAGGATATCATAGTATAGAAATGATGCTTTTCTTTATTGATTTAGGAGATGTGGTTTTGATTATTTGCCAAGGCAGGTTTGGCAGTTTTATTTGCTTAAGTGTGTCCTAGACTTTGTGTCTGGTGCCCACACATTGAGCTTTTCTCACGTATGGTGCCAGCTCTCAGAATTGAATTAGAAGACATGGATAACATTTTTTCTCCATGGGGAAGTGGAGCAGAATTCTTCCTCCGTAAGCCATGCGTGTTGTAAGAGGCAACTAAAATGCCGGGAGCAAGGGGCTAGTAACCCCTTCTCCTGTATATATTACTAAATTTGAAAGGAGAAACTTTCGTTTTTCTTTTTGGGCCACCCCACCTTGGTGGGATACGGCTGGTACGTTGAAAGAAAAAGAAAGGATAACATTTTTGGATTTTTAGAGGGATCTTTTAATTGAGCCTTTGCCATCTGAACCCATCAAAAATGCCATTTACTCAATACATTCAATCTATACAAGTTTACCGCTGACTTTTTTGCCCCAAAATCCTCACTTTTTCCTATAGCACATCTCATATAACTTGAAGAACTAAGGGACAGTAGAAAATTTGAAAATTCAAGTACAGTAAACCCTCATTTTACTGGACTACTAGGAAGGAGTGGGTAGTTGGTACTGGTGATTATGTTCACATCTATGACAGATAATTCTGTCACCAGTGGATTTTGTTCCTTGTTTTCAAATTGACTGACTTCAGATTTTATCCCATGTTTCTGAAGTTCAAAAAATTGAAGGTTTGCTGTACTGCACTAGGTATTGGTATTATGTTGAAGCCATTGTATTGAGATTGGTTGCATACTCTGATTTTATCTATGCAAAATAAAAGGTAGCCTTCTATCTAATGATACATACAGGAAGGCCCCGCTTTACGGCGTTTCACTTCACGGCGTTCTGCTAATACGGACATTTCAAATTATGACCAAAACTCGCTATACGGCTCCCCCCACCTGACTTTCTAATACGATCACCGTGCCCCACCCTGTTTGTTTACATTCTCCATGAGCTCAGTAAGCACTAAATCTCTCCATTTTGTCTGGAAACTCCAAAATTTCAAATGTTTTTAAAAGTTATTTCATATTTTATATATAGTCTGATAATTATACTTATGTATACCTGTACCTAAATAAACTTACATACTGTGCTGGCATGCAGGTACACATTAAAATTGGTAAGTGTCTTATGTCTCCAGACGTCATATTAGTAATGATAATAATAATCTTCTAGTCATTTAAATGTCGTATATTACGTTAATATACACATTTTCGTTAATCCATCCATGATATTTTTTTCAAAATTATATAATAAACACGATGCATAACATATAAATAAGATAAATACACCCCACAGTAGAATAAATACACATAAATGTGAGATGTGGTAGCAGACGACTTGCACAAGTGACGCCATATTAGAAATGATAATAACAATACTCACCGAGTCTCATTAAATGTCGTATATTACGTTAATATACACATTTTCATTAATCCATCCATGATATTTTTTTTCAAAATTATATAATAAACACGATACATAACATAAAAAGATGATAAATACACCCCACAATAGAATAAATAAACATAAATATAAGATGTGGGAGCCACATAACTTGTACAAGTGACGGCAAGAATAACATTTTCTCTAATCTAACGTAAGAGAAAATGTGTTACTGGGGGTAACTGTAGAAAATTATTCCTTTCGTATGTATGTAAGTAAGTTTATTCAGGTATACACAAATACAGTTACATAGATTATCATACATAACAACATACGTGTAGAGAACCTAGGATAACCCAAAAAAGTCAGTGTGACTTATTTCCATTGCCTTCACTCAGAGCTTCATTTCTTCTCAAAATGATGTTACATGAGAATGGGAGTGTTCTTCTTTATTAATTCTACCGTATCAATGTAGAGACAACCTGTACACAATGTAACTTGTACACAAACCAGACGTGTACACTTCGTTTGTTTACAAAACTTATGTTCGCCTGGTTTGTTTACATAACTCTGCGCCTGTCCCCTCTCATGTACTCATTCTTTCTCTCTCTCATTTATTCGTTTTATCTCATTTACTTACTCCTGACCCTACATTAAGACTACAAATATTTTAAGGTAAGTAATGAGTGAACTGTATATACATTTTATCGCTCTGGGATGCTTAAATATCATAGAATAGTATGTGTGGGTGGGGTGGCCTGGTAAGGTAGCCTGGCTATTACCATACATACCACACTTGATTTCTTACAATAAATACTACTTGTCTCACCCTAGATTAAGACTATAAATATTTTAAGGTAAGTAATGAGTGCACTATGTGTGTATTGTACTTTTTTATTGTTTTTTGATGCCTGGTTCTATTGCTAACTTAATATATGTTAGTGTAAACTTGTTATCTAGTGTTTGTATGCATTTATAAGTGGAAAAAAAGGGTGTTCCACTTTACGGCGGTTTCCGCTTTACGGCGGTAGCCTGGAACCTAACCTGCCGTATAAGTGGGGCCCTCCTGTATATCTTATTCAAGTTTAACCAGACACTCAAATATATGGAAAAAAGTAAAATAAAGTAAAAATCAATCTGTAATAGGTTAGTACAGTGGACCCCCAATTCGCGATGCTATCGGTATCTGATAAATCCGGTAACCGATGCATTATATCGCAGAAAATTTGCCTTGCTTCCCGATACAAAACCCGGTATGTGATGTGGTTCGTACGAGACGTGTCCATGTGTGGCTTGAACTGCCCCGTGTGTGCCAGTGTTTACAAGCCAGCCAGTGTGCGCGCATCTAAGGATACATTCGGTACATTCCATATTATCCATATTATCACTGTTTTTGGTGCCTGTTTTCGCAAAATAAGTCACCCTGGGCCCCAAGAAAGCTCCCAGTGCCAACCCTTCGAGACCAAGGGTGCTAATGACTGTTGAAATGAAGAAAGAGATAATTGCAAAGTACGAAAGTGGAGTGCGTGTGTCGGAGCTGGTCAGGTTGTATAGTAAACCCTAATCAACCATCTCTACTATAGTGAGCAAGAAAACGGTAATCAAGGAAGCTGTTCTTGCAAAAGGTGCAGCTGTGATTACGAAACAGCGACCGCAAGTGTTAGAAAATGTTGAGAGACTGTTATTGGTGTGGATAAATGAAAAACAGATAGCAGGAGATAGCATCTCTCAAGCAATCATTTGTGAAAAGGCTAGGCAGTTGCATGACGATTTGGTAAAAAAATTGCCTGCAACTAGTGGTGATGTGAGTGAATTTAAGGCCAGCAAAGGTTGGTTTGAAAGATTTAAGAATCGTAGTGGCATACATAGTGTGATTAGGTATGGTGAGGCTGCCAGTTATGTTGTGCGACAGAAGTCCAGTGACTCTCAAGCTGGTCCTAGTGGCATTAAAAGAAGGGAAGTAACCCCGGAAAAGGACTTGCTACCTCAAGTCCTAATGGAGGGGGATTCCCCTTCTAAATGCTAACACCATCCACACACTCCCCTCCTCCCATCCCATCAATCATCGCCAGATCTTCATTAAAGGTAAGTGTCAATTATTCTTTCGTTATTTATTGTTATTTATTGTTATTGTTGTTATTGTAATTACTGTTCTATTGCATTAAACTTAATATTTCATGTGGTAAAAGTTTTTTTTCATACTTTTGGGTGTCTTGCACGGATTAATTTGATTTCCATTATTTCTTATGGGGAAAATTGATTTGCTTTCCGATATTTTTGGTTTACGATGTGCTCTCAGGAACGGATTAGTTCGCGAACCGGGGGTCCACTGTATTTCTTTTGAGTTATTATATATCAAGGTCAGGTGTGCAGCATAGCTTTCTCTGAACAAAACATGTCTCTCAGAGATACAAGAATACAAGATCAGCAGTAAGCTTTCTTGCCCATGTTAGGCTGCACCTACTGACACCCACCCATTCTACTCGTGTAGAAAAGTGTAATAGGTGTACGAAGGTTAGACTTAATCATCATTAGCCAATAAGCCTACTTTTTTTTTTTTTCAGAAACTTGAAAAGGATTCAGTTAAGCAAGAGCTCTCTGAGGTTATGCCAGATAAAACCACCCTATCAAAGGTTAGTGGCAGTTTCTTCTTGAAGGATTCCTTAAACGTGAATAAAATTAAGATTGTAAATTATTTTTAATTTGAATTGTAAGTGGTATTTTTTTTTTTTTTTTTTTTTTTTTTTGCAGGAACTTAAAAAGGGTTCAGTTCAGCAAGAGCTTTCCAGTGTGATAACAGATGACACCAAATCATCAAAGGTTAGTGGTAGACTTTTTCTGTAATTTCTTGAACATGAATTAGATTGAGATTGTAGACTGTAAATTTTAGCATTTTTCTTTGGAATATATAAAAAATATTTTTTTTTCAGGGACTTTAAAGGAATTCAGTCAAGCAAGAACCTTCTGAGGTTATGTCAGATAAATCTACACACTCAGAGGTTAGTGTCAAATTTTTGCTTGGTGGATTCCTTGAACATGAGTTAGATTAAGATTGCTGATTAAGAGACTTTAATTAATGGAAATGATACAGCACATCAACATATTTCTTATATAAGTTAGCTGAAAATTATGTTGTTGGCCATTTATAGCATTTTTCAAAATTTCAAGTGGCTTTAGTGTTTTTGAGTTGCACTGAGATACTTTACATTTCCCTACATATCAGCTGTAGTGTGTATGAACTGTCACCACTGGTTAGTGAAATACGTATACTAGAGGTATGTATGTCTGTGGCTCGGTTAGCAACATTCTGTCCTAACACGCTGAGTGCCCATGATTTGATCCCCAACATGGGTGGAAATACTGGTTGCGTTTAATTACACCTGGGTGTAAGCAGTAAGTAGGTACCTGGGTGTTAGTCGACTTGTGTGAGTCGTATCTTAGGGGACAAAATTGAAGGACTCCAATGGAAATGAGATAAGATAAGATAAGATTTCGTTCGGATTTTTAACCCCGGAGGGTTAGCCACCCAGGATAACCCAAGAAAGTCAGTGCGTCATCGAGGACTGTCTAACTTATTTCCATTGGGGTCCTTAATCTTGTCCCCCAGGATGCGACCCACACCAGTCGACTAACACCCAGGTACCTATTTGCTGCTAGGTGAACAGGACAACAGGTGTAAGGAAACGTGTCGAATGTTTCCACCCGCCGGGAATCGAACCCGGGCCCTCCGTGTGTGAAGCGGGAGCTTTAGCCACCAGGCCACAGATAGTCCTTGATGGCAAGCTGATTTTCTTGAGTTATCCTAGGTGACTAGCCCTCCAGGTTAAAAATCCAAACAAATCTTTTCTATGGTCCTGAAAACCACTATGTTGTAAAAGGCAAAAAATTCTCAGTGTTTATTATGCATTGCATGACTTGCATGAAGAACTGGGTTAGGGTTCAGGACTCTTGATACACGCATATAATTTTTTATTCAGAAGTTTATACTGAATAGCAGTAAATGTGTTTTGATGTGTGTGTGCTAATTTCCTACTCATCCTCTTGATTGAATTTAGCAATTATGTTTAAAGGTGTTTGAGTGAGCCATAATTTCTGGTATCTAGTTAAATTCCTAAATATTTGACTTATGCCATAGTCACCACTTTAACTTCCCAATGTAACTATACCTGTCAGCTGTTTATTGAAGTAGAAGGTTAATAGTACCTTTCTTTGGAGTTTTTTCACTTAACCCTTTTACTGTCTTCCACATAGATAGATGTTAACCCTTTTACTGTCTTCCACGTAGGTAGATGTTGTTGATGCCAGTTTTGCTTATGTAGATCTACATTTAAGCACAGCACCCTCAGATATTGTATGAGTGGTAAATTCCAGCCTAGACTTGAGACAATGGGTCTGCAGTCAGTTTACCTGGAGTTACCTGGAGAGAGTTCCGGGGGTCAACGCCCCCGTGGCCCGGTCTGTGACCAGGCCTCCTGGTGGATCAGCGCCTGATCAACCAGGCTGTTGCTGCTGGCTGCACGCAAACCAACGTACGAGCCACAGCCCGGCTGATCAGGAACTGACTTTAGGTGCTTGTCCAGTGCCAGCTTGAAGACTGCCAGGGGTCTGTTGGTAATCCCCCTTATGTGTGCTGGGAGGCAGTTGAACAGTCTCGGGCCCCTGACACTTATTGTATGGTCTCTTAACGTGCTAGTGACACCCCTGCTTTTCATTGGGGGGATGGTGCATCGTCTGCCAAGTCTTTTGCTTTCGTAGTGAGTGATTTTCGTGTGCAAGTTCGGTACTAGTCCCTCTAGGATTTTCCAGGTGTATATAATCATGTCTCTCTCCCTCCTGCATTCCAGGGAATACAGGTTTAGGAACCTCAAGCGAACCGCTCCCAGTAATTGAGGTGTTTTATCTCCGTTATGCGCGCCGTGAAAGTTCTCTGTACATTTTCTAGGTCGGCAATTTCACCTGCCTTGAAAGGTGCTGTTAGTGTGCAGCAATATTCCAGCCTAGATAGAACAAGTGACCTGAAGAGTGTCATCATGGGCTTGGCCTCCCTAGTTTTGAAGGTTCTCATTATCCATCCTGTCATTTTTCTAGCAGATGCGATTGATACAATGTTATGGTCCTTGAAGGTGAGATCCTCCGACATGATCACTCCCAGGTCTTTGACGTTGGTGTTTCGCTCTATTTTGTGGCCAGAATTTGTTTTGTAGTCTGATGAAGATTTAATTTCCTCATGTTTACCATATCTGAGTAATTGAAATTTCTCATCGTTGAACTTTATTGTTTTCTGCAGCCCACTGAAAGATTTGGTTGATGTCCGCCTGGAGCCTTGCAGTGTCTGCAATGGAAGACACTGTCATGCAGATTCGGGTGTCATCTGCAAAGGAAGACACGGTGCTGTGGCTGACATTAGTGTACACATTTTAAAAAAATCATGCCCATGCAGTGCATGATGAGAAAAGCAAACTTCTTGACTTCATTTTTTGTTTAAAATACTGATTTTGAGGTGTTTTCTAGTGTAATTTTAATGGTATTATTGGCTGTTTCTGGGTATCAATTAATAGAATGGAATATTAACAGGGAAATTGAGATGAAGTAGCTGAAAATAGGGTTCAAAATAGTGGAAATAATATATTTTTGGTAGTTTTCCTGAGGAACAATATGGGGCTTCCCTATCCTCATCCTAGTAGTCTTTACTAGAGCCTCTTTGATGACTGGGGCAACCTAAACTGTAACCAGTCAATGTTGGTTATACAGTGGACCCCCGACTAACGATATTATTTCAATCCAGAAGTCTGATCGGGTGCCGTTATTGGCCGAATTTGTTCCCATAAGGAATATTGTGAATTAGATTAGTCCATTTCAGACCAAAAATACACCTACAAAAGCACTTACAAAAATACACTTATATAATTGGTCAAGTTGGGAGCTGATCGTTAGCCGGGGGTCCACTGTATTATATCAGAGAAATTGGGTAAAACTTCGATCTTTTTGTGTGACAGTAGATTCAGAATGGAGGGCAAGGGATGTGATTAACGAACAGAGAATAGGTTGCCTTAGTGGCTGGAAGGTCTGCAGTGTTTTTTTTGGACTACGCACTCTATATGGTAAAATTCTTGGTTTACCTGATGCTGCCAAGAATCTACAGTACCGTATGTAAAATTCTGTCATATTTTTGAAGGCATTACAGTTTTAAATGCTCTTACTGAACTTAGCCTTACTGAACACATGATTTACATGCTGCACATATACTTTACGAGAAGAAAAAGAAAACAAGAGTTGAGTGCCATTTGTTATTTAATATGCACTTCAGTTTAATTTGTACACGTACTTCAATTTGCTATGTACTCCTACCATCCGACTTACGACCTGCTCGACTTACGACCACTCGACTTACGACCACTCGACTTACGACCGTGTTTTATATGCCAAATTTCTGGGAAATAAACAACTATTTGTGTTGTACACAGTGTTTATCCTAAACCTTACAGTATAAAATACAGTACTAACATCATAAAAAGTAAAGTAAAACATGAAATACCAAAACAATAAAATAAAGTCATTACAAAAATGTTTTTAGGTGGCCCGGTGGCCTGGTGGCTAAAGCTCCCGCTTCACACACGGAGGGCCCGGGTTCGATTCCCGGCGGGTGGAAACATTTCGACACGTTTCCTTACACCTGTTGTCCTGTTCACCTAGCAGCAAATAGGTACCTGGGTGTTAGTCGACTGGTGTGGGTCGCATCCTGGGGGACAAGATTAAGGACCCCAATGGAAATAAGTTAAACAGTCCTCGATGACGCACTGACTTTCTTGGGTTATCCTGGGTGGCTAACCCTCCGGGGTTAAAAATCCGAACGAAATCTTATCTTATCTTATATTCAGTAGTAAAGTTCGACTTACGACCATTTCGACTTATGAACGGTTTCTCAGAACCGAACTTGGTCGTAAGTCGGATGGTAGGTACTTCAATTTGGTTTAATTCTTCTTCTTCTTTCAACAAACCGGCCATATCCCACCAAAGCAGGGTGGCCCAAAAAGAAAAACAAAAATTTCTCTTTTCAACTTTAGTAATGTATACAGGATAAGGGGTTACTAGCCCCTTGCTCCAGTTAGGTTTAATATGTACTTAAATTTAATATGTACTTCAATTTGATGTTTAATATCTTTGGACAAATCCTAATTTCACATCACCTTTGGCCTTGATTGAGCCAACCTTTCAGTTGTCCACTGTATGTATGATCACATGGCTTTACTTGCCTCAAGTGATGGGCAGTGAAAGAGAATCACATCTATAATTTCTCATATTCAAAATCAGTTAATAATCTAAAGACTGTGCAATCATGTTTATTCATATTCATCCATGCTTCAATTTAGATTAAATTGTTTGATTAGTGTTCCCATGTTATTTGATATTAATTATTCTCAACAGAGCATTCAAGAGAAGAGTGATAAAGATGGAAAAATTGGTGAAAAGGATTGCATAGCAAATGATAAGGATGGCCACTAACTAAGGATTCACCACTAACTAAGTTAGTGGTGAAAATGACAAAGGTAGTGTTAAAGGTGGCAAAGTTAGTGACAAAACTAAATTAGAAGAAAGAAATCTAAAGAAATCTCCTAAAATTTATGCATGTAAAAACTGCAATAAAACATTTGGGGAACCAGTCCAGTTAGAAAAACATATGGTGGTTCATATAGAAGAAAAGCTCTTATCATGCCCTGAGTGCCTATACAGAACTCTAAGTAAAGTTACTTTAAGCAAGCACATTTTAACACATGTGAAAAAAAAGGCATACTCTTGTCCATACTGCCCAGATCGCCACTGTCTTGAAAAGCAGCATGTTTTACACCAGAGACGGATGCATCCACAGATGAAGGTTGTCATTAATGAGTCTTCAGTACCAGGCTTGGGAAAATCACTTCATAAAAAGCCCAAAGTCAGTAAAAATACAGTTAAAGAAAAAGTCATGTCACTATCACTACTTTTACAGAAAATTCATAAATCTTCAGAATCTGGCTTCTCACCATTGCAGACTCTTGAAAGTAATGCAAGTAATAGAGTCAGTCCTTCACCATCACCAACAGCAAAAGCTCTGATTAGTCCAATCTCTAGTGCTTCCTTATCGCTACCATCCAAAGTTCCAGAGTTCACTCGCATGTCTCCATCACTACCTACTCCTTCAGAGATGGCAAAACATACCAGATCCAACTCCTCACCATTACTTCCACCACCAGCAAAAGTTCGAAGAATCTGTAGGAACAGTACATCACCATCATCACCATCATCACCATCAAGAATACAGAAAAAATCTAAATCTAGCTCTTCCTCATTACCACCAGCTGAAGTCAGAACCAGCAGAGAAATTATGTCCTCATCTTCAACACAGAAGGTGCCAAAAAATGCTGGCTCTAGCACATCTGCATCGTCAGTAGTTGGGAAAAGGAAGAGGTTGAGCATATCTCCTTCACCACCCCTAGATTCCTCAAGAAGTTCTAGCTGCTCTAGCTCTTCAATCAAAAGCCCTGAATATGGTCCTTCACCTTCACCACCACCATCTAAATATGTAAGAAGCACAAGATCTAACACAGTGGCAGAATCATTAAGACGGCAGTCTAGAGCGAAATAAATTAGTTTACAGTACTACTTGCAAGTCTTAATTTTTTTTTTTTATTATCACACTGGCCGATTCCCACCAAGGCAGGGTGGCCCGAAAAAGAAAAACTTTCACCATCATTCACTCCATCACTGTCTTGCCAGAAGGGTGCTTTACACTACAGTTTTTAAACTGCAACATTAACACCCCTCCTTCAGAGTGTAGGCACTGTACTTCCCATCTCCAGGACTCAAGTCCGGCCTGCCGGTTTCCCTGAATCCCTTCATAAATGTTACTTTGCTCACACTCCAACAGCACGTCATGTATTAAAAACCATTTGTCTCCATTCACTCCTATCAAACACGCTCATGCATGCCTGCTGGAAGTCCAAGCCCCTCGCACACAAAACCTCCTTTACCCCCTCCCTCCAACCTTTCGTAGGCCGACCCCTCTACCCCGCCTTCCTTCCACTACAGACTGATACACTCTTGAAGTCATTCTGTTTCGCTCCATTCTCTCTACATGTCCGAACCACCTCAACAACCCTTCCTCAGCCCTCTGGACAACAGTTTTGGTAATCCCACACCTCCTCCTAACTTTCAAACTACGAATTCTCTGCATTATATTCACACCACACATTGCCCTCAGACATGACATCTCCACTGCCTCCAGCCTTCTCCTCACTGCAACATTCATCACCCATGCTTCACACCCATGTAAGAGCGTTGGTAAAACTATACTCTCATACATTCCCCTCTTTGCCTCCAAGGACAAAGGTCTTTGTCTCCACAGACTCCTAAGTGCACCACTCAGCCTTTTCCCCTCATCAATTCTGTGATTCACCTCATCTTTCATAAACCCATCCGCTGACACATCCACTTCCAAATATCCGAATACATTCACCTCCTCCATACTCTCTCCCTCCAATCTGATATCCAATCTTTCATCACCTAATCTTTTTGTTATCCTCATAACCTTACTCTTTCCTGTATTCACTTTTATTTTTCGTCTTTTGCATATCCTACCAAATTCATCCACCAACCTCTGCAACTTCTCTTCAGAATCTCTCAAGAGCACAGTGTCATCAGTAAAGAGCAGCTGTGACAACTCCCACTTTATGTGTGATTCTTTATCTTTTAAAATCCACGCCTCTTGCCAAGACCCTCAAAATTTACTTCTCTTACAACCCCATCTATAAATATATTAAACAACCACGGTGACATCACACATCCTTGTCTAAGGCCTACTTTTACTGGGAAATAATCTCCCTCTTTCCTACATACTCTAACTTGAGCCTCACTATCCTCGTAAAAACTCTTCACTGCTTTCAGTAACCTACCTCCTACACCATACACCTGCAACATCTGCCACATTGCCCCCCTATCCACCCTGTCATATGCCTTTTCCAAATCCATAAATGCCACAAAAACCTCTTTAGCCTTATCTAAATATTGTTCACTTATATGTTTCACTGTAAACACCTAGTCCACACCCCCCCTACCTTTCCTAAAGCCTCCTTGTTCATCTGCTATCCTATTCTCCGTCTTACTCTTAATTCTTTCAATAATAACTCTACCATACACTTTACCAGGTATACTCAACAGACTTATCCCACTATAATTTTTTCACTCTCTTTTGTCCCCTTTGCCTTTATACAAAGGAACTATGCATGCTCTCTGCCAATCCCTAGGTACCTTACCCTCTTCCATACATTTATTAATTAATTGCACCAACCACTCCAAAACTATATCCCCACCTGCTTTTAACATTTCTATCTTTATCCCATCAATCCCGGCTGCCTTACCCCCTTTCATTTTACCTACTGCCTCATGAACTTCCCCCACACTCGCAACTGGCTCTTCCTCACTCCTACAAAATGTTATTCCTCCTTGCCCTATACACGAAATCACAGTTTCCCTATCTTCATCAACATTTAACAATTCCTCAAAATATTCCCTCCATCTTCCCAATACCTCTAACTCTCCATTTAATAACTCTCCTCTCCTATTTTTAACTGACAAATCCATTTGTTCTCTAGGCTTCCTTAACTTGTTAATCTCACTCCAAAACTTTTTCTTATTTTCAACAAAATCTGTTGATAACATCTCACCCACTCTCTCATTTGCTCTCTTTTTACATTGCTTCCCCCACTCTCTTATTCTCCATATACTCTTTCCTCCTTGCATCACTTCTACTTTGTAAAAACTTCTCATATGCTAACTTTTTCTCCCTACTACTCTCTTTACATCATCATTCCATCAATCGCTCCTCTTCCCTCCCTCACCCACTTCCTGTAACCACAAACTTCTGCTGAACACTCTAACACTACATTTTTAAAGCTACCCCATACCTCTTCAACCCCATTGCCTATGCTCTCATTAGCCCATCTATCCTCCAATAGCTGTTTATATCTTACCCTAACTGCCTCCTCTTTTAGTTTATAAACCTTCACCTCTCTCTTCCCTGATGCTTCTATTCTCCTTGTATCCCATCTACCTTTTACTCTCAGTGTAGCTACAACTAAAAAGTGATCTGATATATCTGTGGCCCCTCTATAAACATGTACATCCTGAAGTCTACTCAACAATGTTTTATCTACCAATACATAATCCAACAAACTACTGTCATTTTGCCCTACATCATATCTTGTATACTTATTTATCCTCTTTTTTCTTAAAATATGTATTACCTATAACTAAACCCCTTTCTGTACAAAGTTCAATCAAAGGGCTCCCATTATCATTTACACCTGGCACCCCAAACTTACCTACCACACCCTCTCTAAAAGTTTCTCCCTACTTTAGCATTCAGGTCCCCTACCACAATTACTCTCTCACTTGGTTCAAAGGTTCCCTATACATTCACTTAACATCTCCCAAAATATCTCTCTCTCCTCTACATTCCTCTCTTCTCCAGGTGCATACACGCTGATTATGACCCACTTTTCGCATCCAACCTTTACTTTAATCCACATAATTCTTGAATTTACACATTCATATTCTCTTTTCTTCCTTCCATAACTGATCCTTCAACATTACTGCTTCCCCTTCCTTAGCTCTAACTCTCTCAGATACTCCAGATTTAATCCCATTTATTTCCCCCCACCGAAACTCGCCTACCCCCTTCAGCTTTGTTTCGCTTAGGGCCAGGACATCCAACTTCTTTTCATTCACAACATCAGCAATCATCTGTTTCTTGTCATCCGCACTACATCCACGCACATTCAAGCACCCCAGTTTTATAAAGTTTTTCTTCTCTTTTTTAGTAAATGTTTACAGGAGAAGGGGTTACTAGCCCATTGCTCCCGGCATTTTAGTCGCCTCATACGACACGCATGGCTTACGAAGGAAAGATTCTTTTCCACTTTCCCATGGACAACAGAAGAAATAAAGAACAAGAGCTATTCAGAAAATGGAGAAAAACCTAGATGTCTGTATATATATATATATATACAGTGGACCCCCGGTTAACGAACTTTTTTCATTCCAGTAGTATGTTCAGGTGCCAGTACTGACCGAATTTTTTCCCATAAGGAATATTGTGAAGTAGATTAGTCCATTTCAGACCCCCAAACATACACGTACAAACGCACTTACATAAATACACTTACATAATTGGTCGCATATGGAGGTGATCGTTAAGCGGGGGTCCACTGTATATATATATATGCATGTGCGTGTCTGTGAAGTGTGACCAAAGTGTAAGTAGGAGTAGCAAGATATCCCTGTTATCTAGCGTGTTTATTACTTAAAAGAATTCACTATTTCTTTGAGAAATTTTAAATTTTGTTCCCTAAATTCCTTAACATCCCCCCAAAAAATTCTTTTCACCCTTTTCCCAGGGCAACAGGAAAAAAGAAAACCCAAACAAAATTTTTGAAAAAATTTAAAAACCTTTTTTCCCTTAAAAATTTTAAAATTTTATTTACGTTCCCCCCGGTCAAACCCCGAAACTTTTTTAATTTTTCCCCCCCAAAAAAGTATTTCGGGTTGTTTGTTACCGCCCCAAATTTTTTCCCCTGGGAATATTGTTTTTGGTTTTTTCCCCAGGACCCCAAACATTAACCCCCCTTTTAAAAGTTTTTTTCCATAAATTTTTAAAATTTGGGGGGGTTTCCCCCATTTGGAAGGTGTCGTTAATGGGGAAGGGTTCCGGGGGGAAAATTTTTCCCCTTTTCCCCCGGGGCCGGAAAAAAGGAAAAAAGGGTTAAAAAAGGAGAAAAACCTGAATTTTGGTTTTATTATTAAAAGGGGAAACCCACCTTTAAGAATTTTTTCAACCAGTAGTTTTCGGGGATATTTGGCTTTTTTTCCCTGGAAATTTTGAAGGTTTGGGGTTTTTCAAGAAAAAAAAATTTAAAGGAGGGGGGAATTTAATTAAAAAACCCTTACCAAAATTGGGGCAAAGGGGTGTTTTTTGGGGTTTTTGGGTCCCAACCTTTTATATATTTGAATTGGGTGGTAAAGGGACCAAAGGTTTTTGGAGGAAGGGAATTTTTCCCTTTTTCTAGGGTTTTTTTAAAAAAACCTATTTCCGAAATTTTTTCCCAAGTTTTAAGGAAATTTGGAGAAAGGTGTGGGAGTTTAATAAAAGGGGCATTAGAAGGGGAAAAAAAGGGTGTTGGGTTGAGGATTTGGGGGTAAAAATTTTAGGGGGAAAAAAAGGGAAATGTAAAAATGACAGGAAAAACATTAAAAATTTTTAAGGGGGGAAGGAAGGGGGGGGGGGTTGCCCAAAGGGGGGTTTGGGAAAAGGAGGGGGGAAAAGGAGGTTTTGGGGGGCAAGGGGTTAAATTTAGCAAAATTCTAGGGGGTTAATAGGGGGTGTGGGGGAAATAAAACGGGGGAAAACCAAAGATTTTTTGGGGGTGTTTGGGGTAATTTAGGAAAGGGATTGGGGGAAAACGGAAAGCATAAAAATCATTGGGGGGAAAAGGGGGGAAAATGCCCGAAATTTAAAGGGAGGGGGGGGGTTTTTTTTGGGGTAGGGCTTTGGGAAAGGGAAGCTTGTGACTTTAAAGGGGGGTAATGGAGGGAAAGAATTTTTTAACCAGAGTTTTTGGGAGTTGAAAAAAAAATTTTTTATAAGGGAAATTAGGGAAAAGGTTAGATTGTCAAATTTAGCCCCCAAAAAAATTTTAAAAACCCGGCACTTTTAAATAATTTAAAAATTGGCCATTTGGGGGTTGGGTTTTTTTTTTAAAAGCGGGGGGTCCAACTTTTTTCTTCCCGGGTGTTGTTTCTGATACTTGCCAAAAAAAAAAAAAATAAAAAAAAACCCCCCCCCCCCCCAAAAAACAAAAAAAATTAAAAAAAAAAAAAAAAAAAAAAAAAAAAAAAAAATAAAACAAAAAAAAAAAAACCCAAAAAAAAAAAAAAAAGCAGTGTTAATTTTGTGTTGTGGTGAAAGTGTTA